GAAGTCGGTGGCCTCCGAATTCGGCCTGACTTTCGAGGTCCAGGCTGAGCCTCCACCACGTCGCTGTCGGTGGACTCCTCATCGTCCTCTCCTTCGTCACCGGCTTTGCTGCCCTCAGCGGCCTGCTTCACCTCTGTCAGCGTCCCGGCCAACTTCTCCCCTATGGTCGGCTCCCCTGCCGACTACCCGGTTGCCGACTGCTCCGTGGTCGGCTCCACACCGCTGCCTGCTCCCCTGTCGGCTGCTGCCCTGCTGGTGCTCTCTTCGCCGGCTTCACCAAAGTCGGCTGCACCTCCTCGACCTGGTCCTCCCCTATCAACGTCGACTTCACTCCCACGTCGACTTGCTGCTCGTCTTGTCGGCCACCGGCGATGTCCTTGGCCGGCACCGAAGGCGACGTCCCACTTCTCCCCTCATCGCCGGAGGCCGACATCGGGGCCAGCCCACGCAGTTCGGCCACAAAGGGAGGGGTAGAAGGGGCAGGGGAGGGGAAGGTAGAGGGGACGTCCTCGGCAGCAGGCTCACCGACCCCGGCGAGCAAAGGGAGCGATGCCGTTGAGGTGTCCGTCGGCGAGGTGGTTGGCGTCCGTCCTGACGCCGACCCGAGCCCCGACTTCCACACCTCCAGCGACATATCCTCGTAGAACACCACGTTCGGCGTGGTGACCACCCGGTTGGCGTCGATGTCGAGGAGCTCCCAGCCCTCGCTCTCCGCCGACACACCGAGATGAAGGCCCCACTTGGCCTTCGGCTTCAGCTTCCCACCACGCTACTGCTCGGGGACCAAGAACTGCGCCATGCAGCCCCACACTCGTGCCAGCGACAAGCTGGGCTTCTTCCCTGTGAGCAGCTGGTACGGCGTCGTCCCCGGCGGCAGCATCGACCGCTCAAGGCAGTTGCGGACCCAGACAGCCTGCCGTAGAGCGAGGTGCCACCAGTGGTGCTGCACGCCCTGCGGAGATAACTCGTGCAACGGGAGCTAGACTGCGGACTAGGCACGGGGCAAGAGTGATCTTAGCGTTCGTTCGTTCCTTAGTCGTTTCCGAGTGCTAACACTTGCTAGTTCACGGGGAAAATTGGCAAGAGTTTCACTAGGAAAACATCACAACAAAAGTTCAGAATGATTACATCAACATTGGCAACACTGACTACACCAGACCTAGCAAGGCTTGCTGGTCCACTGCCAGCGCAGCACGGTCGACCGCGTGCTAGCACAACTCGGTCGACCGCGCTCCAGCAGAGCAGAGTCGCGGCTTGCCAACGTTGCAAGTCCGCGGTGCGCCAACGCTGCAGTATGTCGGCTGCACAGCGTCGCATCCGCGGGACAACGGTGCACCAGCTTCGCAGGTGCGTGCAGCTGGTTAGCGCCCAACTCCCCCTCACATGCCCAGCGCAGACACTCCGCCCGTGACGGCGCCCACCAGCCACGTCGACCTCGGGATACCACCCCCGAGATCGCCATCGTAGATAACATCCCCGGCGACTTTCGCGTACGTCGCCCGGGTATCCTGGTTGACCGGGTACTTCGCGGTCCTCCCGCGGTTTCTCGGTCAACACCGTCGCCACCGCCGATCCACGATCGTGGTCCTCCCGCGGTTTCGTGGATCCACGATCCCCCGTGATTTCGTGGCTCCCACGGTCGGCTCCGCCCAAGCGAGGACGGGGCCAAACACAACTCCCGTTGACACGCCCATGTGCAGCAGCATCGTCCGCACGGGGTGTACGGGCAGGTAAGGTCGTGGACGATCCCCTTGCCGTCCACGAAGTCGGTGAACTTCTTCCCGAGGAACTCCCCTCCCCGGTCTGAGCGTAGCATCAGCACCGACTGCTTCGCCTGCCTCTCCACCAACACCAGCCACTTCTGGAACTCCAGCAGCACATCCGACTTCTTGGCGACCGGCCTCACCCACACGTAGCAGGTCTTGCGGTCCTTCAGCAGTAAGAAGTACAGGCTGCCGTCTTGGGCAGCCACGGGAAACTGCCCGCACAAGTCGATGTGCACGACGGCCATCACGTCGTCGGCGTCGGAGCCAAATTGGCAATAATAGCAATGACTACATCAGGCACCAATCAACTCTTCAGCTAGCCTGGTCGACCGCCAGCACAGCTTGGTCGACCGCCTGCTAGCATAGTGTAGAGGAGTCGCGCCAGCTCTGCGGAAAGGCGACCTGCCAATAGAGCAGGTCGACGGCGTGCCAACGCTGCAGCAGAGCGACTGTCCAGCATTGAATCGTAGAACACAGCAGTGCGCACGCTCGCCGGTATGCGCAGACGATTGGCCCGACTTGCCTCATTAGGCATTCGTCGGCTGTTGTCTGAGCCTGACGAGCCACATCGACTTCGAGATACCAGCCCGGCCCGCAGTCGCCTTTGCCATCGTGACCTTGACGACGTTCGCGAGCCTCCGCGGAACTCGTCGAGCAGGTTACCCGGTCGACCTGGTCGACCAACATGTGCTCCAGTTGACCACCACTGCCTCTGGTCGACCACCGGTCGACCACCAGGTGCTCCCGGTCGACCACAGCTCCCGTCGAGCTACCCCGTAGTCGACCACCAGCTACCCCCTTCCGTCGACCAGAACCGTCAGCGGTTGTCGCCGAGCTCCCCTTGTCGACTGCTGCTCACTTGTCAAGTCGACGGACTGCTCCGTCGACCTCCCGGTCGAACAACAGGTTGACGGACTGCTCCTCGACCTCCCGGTCGAACAGCAGGTCGTCAGACTGCTCCGTCGACCTCCCGGTTGAACTGCCCCTCCTGGTCGACGGCCCACCCGTCGCCCGGACTAGTCAGTTGCAGCTGTCGAGCTCCCTGGTCGACAGCAACACCACAGAAATCCCCTGCAGCTCGACGAAGCCTGTCGAGCAGCTCTCCCACTGTGAACGGTCGGCTGCTACTCCCGTTCATCCGACCAAGTCGTCGGCGTTGCCCAAGCGAGGGAGGGGCCAACACTCCATTCCCGTTAACACTCCCTTGCCGCGCTCACGCTTGGGCCTCCAGCCCGCAAGGCAGTACTCCACAGAGAAAACTCGTCCTTGGCGTGCGCTCCACACAGAACACGCCGTCACCACACCAGCTGTGCAGAAGGGCACGGCACCTACTGCTGCACCTCGTCGTCGCCGTCGCCGACGTCGGCCAGACGAACTTGGCCGATGGCGACAGAGCACCGGTTGAAAGCCGGAAAATGCAGAGCCTTCGTTAGGAAGTCCGCCGGCTGCTCGGTGGTCGAGATGTACTTCCTTCGCCTCACCATTTGCTGCAGCCAGGCATAACGTCGCTCCATGTGCTTGAGGTTGCCTGTCAGCCCCAAGCTCTCAGCGACTGTGATCGCCGACCTGTTGTCCACGCGGAGGACGGTCGGCTTCCCAGCGTCGAGCAGCTTGAACTCTGCTAGAAGGAAGCGCAGTCGACGCCCCTCCTTGCCGGCGTCCGTGGCCGCGATATACCCAGACTCGGACGAGGAGAGCACCGCGCACTTAATGCGCTGGCTCGACCACGAGACCGCGGCCCCTCCGAAGACGACCACGTAGCCGCCCGTGCTCGTCCGGTTCTGCTAGTCGCCTGCAGCATCGGCGTCAACTTAGCCGACCAGCTCCAGTGACTCGAGTCTACCGCCGAACTCCAGGGCGGTGTCGCGGGTGTCAGCGAGGTAAACGAGGCGGCGGTCGACCTCGCGCCAATGCTGGTCGCTCCTCACCGTGAGGCCGCTCCCCAACTTGCTGCAGGCAAACGCGATATCCGGCCTCGTCGTTGTCGCCGCGAACTGCTGTGAGCCAACCTTCTGCCGGTACTCCTCCTCCTCGCGCTCCTGAGCCTCCTCGTCGTTGAACGTCAGCGCAGCGTAGGCGTCGACCGAGAGCGGCGTCTTTGAAACTCGACCTCCCTGCTCCTCGTCAATGAAGCACCAGCGCAGCTTGTCGGCGTAGCCCTGCTGGTGCAGCCATAGCTTACTGACCAGCCTGTCGCGCACGATCTCCAACCCAAGGTACTTCACCACCGACCAGATCTCGCGTAGCTCGAAGGCGGCCTCCAGAAGCTCCTTCAGTTCCTTCAGCGTCGCGGTGCTGCTGCTAACAGCGAGCAGGTCGTCGACGTAGACCAGAACCCAAACAAGTGACTCTGTCGTCGCCGGCCTTGAAGTAGAGCGCCTCGTCGACCTGGTTCTTCTTCCAGCCAGCGCCCAGCAGCACACCGTCGAGAGCCCTGTACCACAGCAGCGGCGACTGCTTCAGCCGGAAGAGGATCTTCAGCAGCTTATACACCGGGCCGGTCCCATCGTCGAAGTAGTCCAGCTGGTACATGTAGAGCACCCTGTCGAGCTTGCTCTGCAGGAAAGTGTGTCGGAGAATCATCCTCTGTTGCATCTCGTGGCTTGCCTTCTCCTTCCTGGACTCACCCTCGCTCCCTTCTTCTTCTGAGCTCTGTTCTTGTGATACCTTACCAGCTCTGCCTCAGCCACTACCTGCCCCCTCCAGAGCTCGTGCTCGGGTCTCCCGTGCACGTGTCACTGGACAGTCTTGCTGAGGCCGGTTGCCTTTCACCACAGCAGCATTCGTCAGGTGGTACCCTGTCTACTCTCATCTCTGATTCCTCAGCACTAGCACTCTTAGACCCCTCAGGTCCTTCGTCTCCCTTCGCTGTGTGTCCGGTGCTACTTTCCGAGTTTCCCCCTCTGCAGGTAGGCTTCCTGTCCCCCTTCCACTGATGTCTCTGTCGTTTTTGCCGCCCTGCTTCAGTCGTTGCTTGTGCCTGTGCGTGTGCATTTCTCAACTCTACTACACGCATGACCTCCGCCGCTGCTGTGTTCTCCTCCTCCAGGTATTCTGCTGCCTTGGCTCCCTCCCATGCCACCCAGTTCTCAGCCCCTTTCATTCCCGCTGGTCCTGGCAGCACCTGTGTTGCTAGCTGCATCGGCTCATCTGCCCATATTCCTCGCGTACTCCACCTTACTGTCTTCACGTCCTCTTTTCCTTCCTGACTCATCGCAACTCCCATTATATGCCCTACCTCTTCCCCTGCAGGCCGGCACTCCCATGTCCCCACTTCCTTGCTCTCACTCTCTGCTTCCTCCTGCTCCTGCGCTTTGTCCCACACTGGACCTTCCCATCCTCCTACCTGTAGGTCTCCTTGCCCCCATTCGCACGTCATCTCTACTTTCATGCTCCTCACACCCGTCTCAGCTCTTCTCACGGCTTCTTTCACCATTTCCTCCCCCAGCAGCTGTGGATGTTCTTCCCTCAGCTTTCTCACATGCTGCTTCGCCATCCTACTTCCCTGCACTTGCTTCTCTGCCTTTAGTACACACGACCGTGCCCCCACCTTCTCGTCCTTCCCTTCTGCCTCTGCTACTGCAGGTACACACGCTCCTGCCCCCACCTGCTCTTCCTTTTCCTCTGCCTTCGCTGCTGCTGTTACACACGCTCCTGCCCCCACCTGCGCGTTCTTCCCTTCCGCGCCGGCTGCTACCAGTCCACACGCCCCTGCCCCCTTCTTCTCGTCCTTCTCTTCCCCTTCTGCTGCTGCCCATGCCCCCACCTTCTCGTTCTTCCCTTCCGTGCCTGCCGCTTCTGGTTCGTCCGCCCATGCCCCCACCTTCTCGTTCTTCCCTTCCTCTTCTGCCGCTGCTACTACACACGCTTTTGCCCCCGCCGGCTCGTCCCGCTCCTCTGCTCCTGCTGCTGCTGGCGTTACTAACATACACGCCCATGCCCCCACCTTACTCACTTGCTTCCTTCGTCCGTCCCTGCCCCCACTGCGTAGCCGCATTTCTGCATGGCTACGCAGCACCGCACAGGAGTGTTCTGGCTCCTGCTCCTCTTCCTCCTCAGCGTACAACCCCGCTTGCCCCTGAGTTCTTTCTCCCAGCGCCTGCAGTTGGGCTCGCAATTGTTCGATTTGTCCCTCAATCTCCTCGGGTGATCTCCTTGCCTCCATTATTTTCTCATGGCAGTCCCTGGCCTTATGCCCCTTTTCCCCACACATCGCACAGATCGGTGCATCTGGGCAGTCCCTTCGGCGGTGCCCCGATCTTCCACACACATCACAGTTCCTGCACTCCCTCCTGATATGCCCCTGCTGCCCGCACCTGTGGCACGTGCGTGTATCTGCTCGCCTCTCCTGCCACTGCTCCTCCTTATCCTCGTCCTCGGTTATCATTGCTGCAGCCCAGCTGGGCCGCCCTTTATCTGACGCCCTTGGCAGGTATGCCTCGTACCGCCTCTGCGCAAGCTCCACTTTCTCCGCCAGTTCAAACACCTCCTCCAATGTTGCTTCAGCTCCCAACTCATACACTCTCATTCTCAGCCCTCCACTGAGTCCTACATCTAAACCCCCCAAGAACTTGCTAATCAACATGCTGCTGTCCGTGCAGGCCACATCCTTTGCTAGGTTAGTGAGCCTCCCAAAGTATGTGAGTAGTGACTCTGCCTTACCCCTCTTAAACTCCTGAAACTCTCGGATACGGTCGGCCGTGTGCCCTGGAAACTGCTTTCTCAGCCGCTCTAGGAACAGCGTCGTGGGATCATCTCCATCCTCCTCTGCCCGCCTCAGCCACTCCGGCATCTTCATTCGGTACAGCGTTTCAGCTTCGGCCCCCAACGTACTCGGTAAGCTTAAGAAAAACTCTATCGGGTCCATCCCGCTTCTATCGCAGCGGTACTTCACATTAGCGATCTGCATCAGGTAATTCTTCAGGTTGCTTCCAGATCCTTCTTCCCCCGGAAAGTGCACCGGCACCTCCACCTGAGGTGGGGCCTGCACACTCCACCTCCCCGTCTCCCAAGTCCCTGAGATCTCATTCCTCCTGCTACTCTCTCCTCTCCTTTCCCTCGACTCCCTGCTCCTTGACTCTGTCCCATACAGCACTCGATAGATTCCTTCCCTGGCTGCCCTGGCTCCTCCCGAGCCCAACCATGACTGCTGCGGCCTTCCCTGCCAGCTCTGACTTGGGCTCTTTCCCCGCTCTCTCTCACGAGTCTCCCTATATCCCTCTGATTCCCGCCCTGGACTCTCTCTCTTTTTAGGGGAATATTCTTCCCATGGCTTCTCCCTTCGGCCAAATCCGTAGCGTGCAGGTCTGTCACACTCTCCTTCCTCGCTTTCCTTGTCATGCTCAGGCGTCAACTCTCGCCGTCTACGCTGCTCCTCTCTTCTCCCCGAGCTCGTCCCGTACAACACTCTCTCTAGCCCCTCCCGGGCTGCTCTAGCTTCCTTTGATTGCCATGGCCTCCTCGGCCCCAGTGGACTCCTTCCTCGCTCACCCTCATAAGCCTGCCTCCGCTTTTCTGATTCCTCCCATCGCCCTTCTCTCTTCTCAGGCAAGTTCTCCTGATATAGCCTCTCTCGCTCCCATACATCAGGTCCCTTTCGACCCGCTGGTTTCCCTCGCTCATACTCCTCTTTCTCACTTCCTGTCTTCCCTTCAGGCGACCTCTCCCTCCTTCTGTATTGCTCGTCATTTCTCCTTCTTAGCTCCTCTTTTTCCGCCTTCCCCCTGATTTCCTCCTCAGGTACCTCCCATGGTAGTGCATTCCGCATTCGCAGCTCCCGTCTATCCTCTTCCTCGTCCCACGGCTCTGGCGATCGTCGAGATCCCATCTCCATACGCCTCCTCCTCTCAGTTTCTGGCTGTGGCTCCGGCGGTCCGTCTTCCCCACGCATGCGCCCTGTCGCGCGGTCATTCTCCTTGCTCTTGCGGCGCCTCGCGCCACTCCCGCGCACATCCCCTGGAGCGCGATCTGCCTCTGCGTTGCTCCCCTGGCGCCTTGCGCCACTCCCGCGCACCTCCCCTGGCGCGCGATCTGCCTCCGCGCTGCTCCCCTGGCGCCTTGCGCCACTCCCGCGCACCTCCCCTGGCGCGCGATCTGCCTCCCCGTTGCTCCCTTGGCGCCTCGCGCCACTCCCGCGCACCTCCCCTGGCGCGCGGCCTGCCTCCGCGCTGCTCCCCTGGCGCCTTGCGCCACTCCCGCGCACCTCCCCTGGCGCGCGATCTGCCTCTGCGCTGCTCCCCTGGCGCCTCGCGCCACTCCCGCGCACCTCCCCTGGCGCGCGATCTGCCTCCGCGCTGCTCCCCTGGCGCCTTGCGCCACTCCCGCGTACCTCCCCTGGCGCGCGATCTGCCTCCGCGCTGCTCCCCTGGCGCCTCGCGCCACTTCCGCGCCCCTCCTCTGTCGCGCAATCTGCATCAGCTTGGTTCCCCTGGTGCCTCGCGCTGCCCTCACGTAATTCGTCTGCCGAGAGACATGTATCCGCGCTCCCGCGCTGTTTCGCACAGCCTCCGCGCATCCCTACCGGCGAGCCATCTTTGTTTGCGTCTTTGCTCCATTCGCCGCGCTCTTGTTCCGGGACATCGTCCTTCTTACCATCCCGCGCCATCAGGATATCGTCTGCTTCCTCCTCACCGTCGGCCTTGCTTGCCGAATCCGACGAGTCCACCACATCTGCGTCGTCGCGACGCCTGCCACCCTCTCCTTGCTGGCCGCGCGCCAGATTCCAAGGGCCGCTGCTGGACGGTTGAGGCCTGGGCTCCGATCCCGCGTGCAGATCGTCCTCCTCTGCTCAAGAGCTTTCCGAGGAACCAAGTATCGCTTCAATCGGAGCACGAACAAGAAAGTTACGAACGTTGGAGTTCGTATGCTTTTGATATTTGGTTGTGGTGACTATGGGAAGTTGTGGGGTTGACTCAATATGGGGTACAGACTTTTGGGGGTTGGGAAATTCGTCTTTTCTACTGTAGTTGCTGCCAAATGGTTGGGAGAAACCAAACCAGGTTGGCAAGTGTGGCCAAGTTGGGTTGAGGTGGATTGTGGAGGTTGGGATAGTGACAAAGGTCAAAGTTGGGTTGCCTATGGGGAAGGGAATTGTATGGCATGGGGTTTCCTTGGTTGGGGACTCTCTTGGGACCTTCCCTCTCGTCCTCCTCATCCCCTCCTACCTGGTTCTATTGCTACTCTAACTTTCTTGTGTGAACTTGTGAGATCATTGTGATTGAGTTACGTTTTCTATGGCAGCATACCCCCTAGTGCGCCGAAGTTCATAACTCGAGTTATACTCCATATTCTGATACTATTCAAATTGGGAAAGATAGCCACGGTCAAGGGCTACAACATACTCGAGTTTGAAAGAATTCTAACAGTGGACCTTTCGTCGACGACGTTTCTTGTGACGACGACTTTTCTGTCCAGAATTGTAGTTGACGATTTTGAGATATTTCAGCCCCTAATCTTCATAGACTCCGTCCTTAATCTCTAACAAGTGGTATCAGAGCTGATTAAGGACCTTGTGGGGAGTCTACTGAAGTGTGAAGACCCTCCTAGACCCACCATGGCCTGTGGGCGTGCCTAAGTGGAGTTCTGGAGGTTGGATGTGACTTCCGCTAAGGGGAAACTCTGCCGAAATTTCGTTGGCGCTGACACTTGTGAAGATTGTGTGGATCTACATTGTGACCAGCAAAAGGGGGAGCTGAAACCTCTGATTGGGAGCAGAGGAGATGAATCAAGGGAGTGGAGATGCAGCTGAGAAGAGGAGTGAGCCGCCACCATCCAAGATTGAAGCTTTGGATGGCTCCAACTATGAGGAATGGAGCGGGCGGATGCGGAGCGCCTTCAAGCGCTACAAGCTGCTGAAAATTGCAATGGGAGAGGAGAAGATGCCGGGGGAAGGAGATGCCCGCGATCGGTGGATTGAGAAGAGCGCGGTGCTGTACGACCTCATCCTCCAATCGGTCAACAACGACATGTTCCAGCACATCAAGGATTTGGTGGAGTTGGATGATTCCGGACCGAAGGCATGGAAGCTGCTACGCGACGTGATTCAGCCCAACACGCTGCCGATGGTGATTGTGTTGGAGAAGGAGTTGGCTGCCCTCTCCATGAAACCGGGAGATGATGTGAAACGGGTCCTTGACAAGATCAAGGACACCTATGCGAGGATGGCAGCGGCGGGCAGCGAAGTGTCGCAGATGCAACAGTGCACCAAGATCATCTCGGTGCTCGACAACTCGTGGGACAACCTCATCCCCACCCTCAACGTTCAGCAGGACAAATGGACGCCTGAGTGGCTACGGCAGCAGATTCTGCAGGAGGACTTCCGCAGACGCCACACGGGAGGTGGTGCTGCCAACAAAACTGCTGAGGGGTATGGAGCTGCAGGAGGCAGCAGAGGAAGAGGGGGAGGGAGAGGCCGAGGCCGTGGGAGAGGCTTTGGCAGAGGGAGAGGCCGAGGTGACTACAATGAGGGGCATGGGAGCTCTGGTGGCAGGGGGAGCACCCGAATGGAGGGTGCGTGCTGGTACTGCAAGAAGGCTGGACACCCGTGGTTCAAGTGTTTCAGCCGGCCTGAGGGATGGGCCCCTCCAGGCATGAAGCCGCCAAGTGGTGAACGTGCACGCGGTGGCGCTGTGCAAGGTTCAGGTGCACAAGGTGATGGTGCACAAGGTAAAGCCGACCCTGGGATGTTCCTCATGGTTGAGGATGTGCAAGGGAGTGGGGGTGATGTGGGTTCAGTTGGGAAGGTTGTGATGCACCCCCTCACTCACTGGGTGATCGATTCAGGTTGCACGAGTCATATGACCCCACGGGCAGATTTGCTTGATGAGGTAAAACCTCCTGGGAAGATCAAGTTTGTGGCTGCCGCTTCAGGTGCTTTGCTCCCTGTGATTGGTGTTGGGAATGCCAAGGTGATGGGAGCCAATGGAGAGCTTGTGGGGCTTGGGAATGTGCTGTTGGTTGAAGGTTTGTCCGCTAACCTTCTTTCTGTGCGCCGGCTGCAGAAGAGCAAGGCTGAAGTTACCTTCGGCCCAACCAGCTGCCGTGCAAAGCTTGGGAAGTTGCTGCTGTGGAACTTGGAGGAGAAGAGCAGCTGCATCAAGGACTTGTGGCAGCTGCCCATCATCCCTTGGAAGGGGAAACCACCAGCAACGGCAAAGGCAGCGGCAGCGGCTAAAGCAACTGCGGGAGGAGAGGAGACTGCACCAACTGCTGGGGCCCTGGATGCAGTCAAGAAGGTGCAGCAGCCACAACAGCCACATGGTGAGGTGCTTGCTGGTGTGGATGCGACAGCTGCATGGGCAAAGGCTTCATCTGGGAGTGGTGAGGCTGATTGGGAGACGTGGCATGAGAGGCTGTGCCATGTGAACATTCCTATGCTGCAGAAGTTGGTAAAGGATGGGTGCTTGAAGGGGCTGGAGGTGAAGGGGGGAGCAAAGGAGATTGGGAGCTGCCCTACCTGCCTTGAGACCAAATTCACGAAGTTTCCCTTCAGCAGCAGCACAGGACCAGCCAAGGCACCACTTGCACTAGTGCACATGGATGTGGTGGGCCCCACGAGGGCCCTTTCTCTCTCGGGCAGCCGCTACTTCTTGACGATTGTGGACGACCACACGCGTGCGGTGTGGGTGTACCCTCTCAAGACTAAGGGGGAGGTGGCAGCGGCTGTTCTTAAGGAGTGGATGCCGAGAGCACAAAGGGAAAGCGGACACAAGGTGAAGGTGATCCGCACTGACAACGGAGGAGAGTTCATCGGCGCTGATTTTGAGAAGGAGCTGAAGCGGAAGGGGATCCAGCATCAGCTCACAGTGCCTTACAACCCTCAGCAGAATGGCGTGGCTGAGCGGTTCAACCGGACCCTGCAGGAAGGTGCTCGCACTCTCCTTGGGCGTGCAGGGCTGCCGGATCCGTTTTGGGTGACAGCACTGCGGCAGGTCGTTGTTGTGAAGAACAGGGTGCTGGCAACTGTGGGGGACAAGCAGTGGGTCCCCTACACCAAGTGGTATGGGATTGCACCAGCTGTGAACATGCTGAGAGCCTTTGGGTGCATGGTGGTGTTTCATGTGCCTAAGGAGAAGAGGGGAAAACTGGAAGCTTCTGGGAGATGGGGTGTGCACTTGGGGCTTGCTAAGGATCACAAGGGCTGGCTGATTTGGGACTTGACCAGCCAGCAGCTGACCGTGTCAAGGGATGTGAAGTTCCTTGAGTCCTTGTACTACAAGGAGTGGAAGCAGCAGCAGCAGCAGAAGCTTCCAACGACACCGCTAATTGTCGAGGCCGATGAGGTGCAGCGGCCTTCAAGGCAAGTGGAGGTTTCTGTCTCTGAGAATGAGATCTCTGGGGTGACAGAGGATGGGGGAGAACCTGAGGTGGAGGAGCAGCAGCAGCAGCAACAGCAGCAGCAGCCGCAGCAGCAGGAGGAGCAAGGTGCTCCACAAGGTGCCGGACGTACGGCTGACCGTCCTAGGAGGGATGTGCGCCCTCCTAACAGGCTGACCTATGCAAGCCGTGGCAAGCCAAAGGTGGTAAGGGCTGGGAGTGTGGCTGAGCAGTGTGATGAGGATGAGATAGCACACTGCTACTGGGCAGCCGTCCCTGAGCCCAAGACGCTAGCTGAGGCATTGAGCGGGCCCGATGCTGAAAAGTGGAAGCAGAGTGTGAAGGAGGAGTATGATTCTCTGCTAGAGAATGAGACGTGGGAGCTGTGTGAGCTGCCACCTGGGAAGAAGGCCATTTCTTCCAAGCTGATTTTCAGGCACAAGTACGGACCTGATGGGGCGCTGACCCGCTACAAGTCAAGGCTTGTGGCTAAGGGGTTTCAGCAGACAAAGGGAAAGGACTTCAACGAGCTCTATGCTCCTGTGGGGAAAGGCACAACACTTCGGGTGTCATTGGCAATGGCAGCATACCGTGGATGGCGGGTGAAGCAGATGGACATCACCACCGCCTTCCTCAATGGGATCATTCTGGAGGAGCTGTACATGTTACAGCCTGAGGGTTTGGATGATGGGAGCGGCAGGGTGTGCAGGCTGAAGAAGGCCATCTATGGCCTGAAGCAGGCTCCTCGTGCATGGTACCACAAGTTAGAGGAGACTCTGCTGGCTGGGGGTTTCAAGAAGAGTGAGTGTGATCACAGCTTGTTCCTGCTGCAGGAGAAGGAGCAGTTTCTCATGCTCCTGGTGTATGTGGATGACATCCTGCTCTTCTCTGAGTCGTCTGCAATGATTGAGCATGTGGAGGAGATGCTGGAGATGCAGTTTAAGTGCTCCAAGATGGGAGATGTGAAGTACTATTTGGGCATGCATGTGGAGAGGGACCTTGACAAGGGAGTGTTGAGGTTGCACCAGAGAAAGTATTGTGAGGGGCTGGCTGAGAAGTATGGGCTGCAAGATGGAGGAAAGCCAGCCACCCCACTGCCTTCGGGGTTCACTGTGGAGCCCTGTGCTGAAGAGGAGGTGGTGGGTGAGAGTGACAGGAAGCTGTTTCATTCCATGGTGGGGGCACTCAATTATGCGGCTA